TACATGACCTCTTCATCCACTATAATGCATTAGTTTATATTATTAAAAAAATTATAAAAGTGTTATGTACCATAAAACAAGCTTTATTTTCTAATATTAATTTTGTGATAACTATTGCTTTATAAAAATATTTCAAGTTTAACAAAACATTTATAAATGAAATTCTAACGACACAATATAAAAAAGTCCACTTTATGCTGTCCCGAAAATTAACATTCTCATTGCATTTAAAAGTTTTTTTTTGTTTACTATGTGTAATTTTGAAGCTAGTTCATCGACTTTTCGAAAACGGTTTTCTATATTAACACCATATTTTTCAATAAGAGACGGCATTATCTCGAAATATTTAGACAAAAATATACCGAAAAGTCACCAAATTAAGTGAAAAATAATGAATTTTGCTTGTTTACATCATGTTTTTTTGTAAAATTCTGTTAAAACATATTGAAAAACTATCACATTGGGTTGAAAATTACCTTTTTTATGATTTATGGGCCTTTTAGCATGTTTTTCAATTAATAATTTACAAAATTATTTCGTCACAAATCGCAAAATTTACTCAAAAATGGTGTTATTTTTACTTTTTTAGATTGTGCTAAAAATTTTGTTCAAAAATAATACCATTTTTCCGTTTTAGGACGTTTTTTAGTCAGATCAGAATCGCAAATTTTCGTCGAAAATGAGGTAAAAAATGAAATAAACTATCACGAAACTAAAATTATTTTTGCTTCTTTGGAGAGTTTAAGTATGTTTTTGAGCCGAAAAATCATCTGGTTGCTTTTCCAAACGTTTTAGAAGATTTTTCAATCAAAAGCACAAAACTTCGGAAAAATAAGCCGAAAAATCACATAATTAATTCGAAAATGATGTTATTTTTGCTCTTTTCAAATATTTAGTTGCGTTTTTAAGTCTAAAACAAATTTTTTTCTTTAATTTTTGCTAAAAAACATACCAAAATTAATAGATATATTAGACTAAATAAAAAACGACATAATTTATGCTCTTTTCGAGCGTTTTAAAACATTTTTCAATAAAAAACGCAATTATTTCCCAAAATTTTGTCAAGAATACGTCGGAAAGTAATTGAATTAAGTAAAAATAGTGTTATTTGTGCTTTTTTTAAACATTTATTTATTATTATCTATTTATTTAAACATATTTTAACACCTTTATCCACGCCTTTAGCATTTGGTAATTTTATTCCTAATAGAAACCAACACTTAAAAGTCTTTTTCAATAAAGAATATTGCGGAAAAAATTGTTTTAAAAGAAAATACCAGTTTTCAAAAAAATGTTACATAACACCTTTATCCACTCACCTCTTCAATTTACACACAAAAAGTCTGTTTTTTTTTAACGGAAATTACAAGTCAGAATTTTGATGAGAAATTGGTAGAAATGGTCAGTAAGTGTCACAAAATGCAATATTATGGGGAGAAAATACCAAATATTAATAAAAAAATGGTGGGTATATACAGTATGTCCTACAAAGAAGGAGTAAGCATTTTGTGTCTAAATTTCCGTTAAAAAACAGATTGATGTACTTAACACAGATTTTTGAATTTCAAACTTATTGTTATTAGAGAAAAACTACGAAAATCAGCTTATTTACAAACTAACCACTGAGACTCTGATGTACAAATTGTTATGCCTGTATTTTTATGATTTTTTATCAATTTGTGAATTGATTTATATTATTAAAAAATCTGGAACAGCGGGTACATTTTTAGGACGACTAGTGTAACACATTTGTTCGGTAAGAAATAAAATTGTAATATAATAAAAACCACTACGTTTTTTGTTTTGCACTTTTGCATGGTTGTTTATTTTTTCCATTTTTTATTTTTACAACACTGTATATTTGTATTCTGTCCATACTCCTTGTTTTAGATTTGGATTTTTTGTTAAATAAGGATTAATTATTAATAAATGGTATTTTTTGAACTGTAATATACTAAGTTTGTATGCTCTATTATTACAATGTTGTAACTGAGAGAAAAAAAAAACTTAACGGGAATGTAATCGTTTCCTCAACATTTAGTTTTATTCTTGGACTATTAATTTTTCTATTTAAGAAAACTCGGAGAACTTATTTACTTATTTAGAATAACAAAAATAAAAAAAATGTTACCACGTGTGATAACGTTAATGTTTTACAATTGTAATACAATACACCGATGTGTAATTTTTATAAGAAAAAAATTGTAACATTGTATTTACTTCACGTGTACACAATATTGTTACGCGCCAGAAATAAAATGTATTTGAGTTTTTATTTTGTAAAACTAAAAGTCTTACTATTGAATTTGGAAGGAAATTTAATAATTTTACGGTTCAATTTTGTTAATTGTTGATATTTTTTACCAAATTGAATGAATTTAAAACATTTGTACTATACAGGATGTCCCAGCGAGTTGAAAAAGTCCATTAGTGACCTTTAAATAATAAAATTTTAGAAAAAATCTAGTTCATCGTCTAAAATTATTTTCAACTATACAGCGTGTCTCAGAAAAAAGTTACAATACAAACTTGTGTTTTTTTAAATGAAACACCATATGTTTCTTAGCGTTTTTGAATGTAGATTTTTATGCCAATGTTTTTAAGCTAAACTTTTATTGGTCGATTTTGCTTAGTTTTAAAAATAAAAAAGTAAAAAATACTTTTTAAAAATTTATTACATAAAAACTAAGACATCTAGAAATATTTTTTTTACTACCGCAAAGAAGAAGGTACAAGCTATAAGGTTGTAACATTTTTTTTGTGTGTTGCACAATGAGGGCGTTTGTTAAAAGTTCTTAACTTAAAAAAATTAAATGGAACACCCTATTTATTGTTTTTGCATTTAAAAGATTATTAAATTGTCTTTCTAAAATTATTTACTTTTAGGTGTTTATAATCAATAACTAAAAAGATATTTAACGTTAAACTTAAAACAAATTAATTACTATTGTTTCAGTAGCCAAAAAGTGCACAGTTGCACAAGAGATGGAAATCACTTAATAATCACATTTGTGTTAAACTAAATCTATTATTCTTTATTTTTACAATAAAATAATTCGAATTTCTGTATTTATAACGATTTTTACAATCTCTGGATAAATCAGATATTAATTAGGCATTGTTTCTACAATTATGTTGAATGTTAAATATCTTTTCATTTATCAATTCTAGACATTAAAAGTTTATTTTTTAGATAGACAATTTATCAATCTTTTAGATGCAAAAATAAAAAATAGGGTGTTCCATTTAAATTTTTTAAGTTATTTAACTTTTAACAAACTTCTTAATTCATTCTTCATTCATTCATTCATTCTTTACAAATGCAAAACACTAAAAAATAGCAACAGCTTTAAATTCAGTACTTTTTTCTTTGCAGAAATAAGAAAAAATTGTTCTAGCTGTCTTAGTGCATGTCTTCGTCAAAAAAAAGTTTAGCTCAAAAACATTGTCATAAAAATCTACATCCAAAAACTTTAAGAAACATACAGTGTTTTATTTAAAAAAACACAAGTTTGTATTGTAACTTATTTTTCAGACACGCTGTATAGTTAAAAATAATTTGAGGCAATAATTTTACTATATAAAGGTCACTAATGGACTTTTTGAACTCGCTGGGACATCCTTTATGTAAAAATGACATGGAACTTTATTAAAACGCCATTTTAATCAACGAGTATTTATTTTGGTAATTATTTACAAGTGATGCATGCTATGATAAATACTCCTTGATAAAAAAGAAACAATATGATAATTTTTTTACTGAAAATATTTTGTAAAAATTGAAAAAAAATGTGAAATTTTTTCCAAGACACATGTGCGATTTTTGTTTGTAATGCATCTCGTTCAAGTTCTGGAAGGGGGCCGTACTTTTTATGGTGAGTTGTTCCAGACCCTCGGCAGATTGGATGGCGTGAAACAAGATTGGCTAGTGGAAGACATCATTGGCAACTGGTGGAGGCCCAACTTTGAACCACCTCAGTATCCATATATTCCACCACATATAACGAAACCTAAGGAACATAAGAGGCTTTTTTTGGTTCAACTACAAGAAAAGGGTATTGTATGATTAGCAGGAAGATTGTATTTTTGTATAGTGGTCCTTAATTACAGTTTAAAAAAATCAAATATTCGATTTTGATTTTTTTAGTAACTGCATGCCGTTATGTGAGAATTATTTAAAAAATTGACAAAACAACGGATGCAGTTTAGAGATAAAACTTTGTTTTACTTGTAGTTTCATATTTATATTTCTTTTCCCTATTTTTTTTTTTATAATTTACTTAACTGTCTTTTTAATCCGTTTTGTGTTTCTCATTGTAAACTTAATTCCGATTACACAATTATCTGATGATGTTTTTTGAAAATACCACATTTTTGTTTCACTAATAGGTAAATTGTTAAAAACTTGTCACATTTCTAATTATTCTAGCGACACCAAAAAATATGAATACAAGTAGGTTGTATATACAGGGGTGCGCCAGAACTCGCACCCAGAGAAAAATCTCAAGTAAGATAAGATACCAGGAACACGGAAAAAATGTTTAAAAAATTCTCTGTCAAAAAATTTTGACATTTAACATGTCTATTTAATGATACTGATGATTTTGTTTGTGTTTTTTTTACAATTATTTAGTAAAGGTACAAAAATTTTGCCAAACAGAGTTACAATTTCCTTGTTTCCTTTTCTAATAACAATAATAATGTAGCAAAAAAATTTAAAAAAATATTTTTCCAACAGAAATAGAGAAAGTGCAAAAATTTAAACTCATAACTTCGAAATTCTTATAGATATTTTTTTTTAACATTTTTTCTATGTTCCTGATATCTTACCTTATACCAGGTGAGTAAAAAGTATGGAACCAAACATTTTTTGCTTAAACTATTTATTTCTTGGAAAAACTAATTGATAAACGATAAAGTACTTTAAAGATGTGATGTTTTATCAAGAATAAGTTTTTTCGAAATTTTCTTTTGTTTTTGAATTCTACAAAAAAAAAATTAATTTTTTTAAATAGCAACCCACTATAAAACTATTTTCCTCATAAAGATCTAAGGATTACAACTATTTAATTTTTTCACAATTTTTAAAATCGCATAAATTAAAAACAAGACAAAACTTTGTTCTCATAATACGATTTATTTTCTGAAGACAAATGATTAAAAAAAACCGTTTGGTTCCATACTTTATATTCACCCTGTATGACATTTTTCTCTGACGCACCCTGTAGAAGTGATAATGTGTCTATATTTTTATGGGGTTTTTTGTTTAGTATTTTTTGCCTAAAACGTTGGCAACAGGGATTGTGTGGCTCTGTAATTAAAACTATGGTAGGTGTTTTCGTAGCACAAAAGTGTATATCAAATAAGATATTTTATTTAAACCTTGGACTTGGATTGACATTTGTAACATTTCTTTTTAATATTAAAGGCGCTATCGTATCGTGTTTTTGCGTTATAAAAGACATATTTTTTGCAACACCTGGTATATTTTTTTATATTTGTGCAAACTCAAAACTTAACTATTTCAAATATGAGAAAATATACTACTGGGAAAATAATTCAGCAGGACATCAAAGGCCATGTTTTGATTTCCTCGCACATTGTTGTAAAATGTGATACTTGTTTATGTTTATTTTTAAGTCTAAACAATGCATGGCTGTACACATGTGATGTATTATTCAATTTTGGAATTTAACATGAATTTTACGTTTTGTGTAGCTTTTTTCTTTCCTTGAAGTTTTCACCAATCAATGCAAATTTTGTTACTTTGCTTATTTTTAACCCTATTTTACAGCCCTTTTTGCCGTTCCGAAAAATTACAAGTTGGTAGCCGCCCCTCTCTTTGAGCTTTATGACAATTCACAAGGGTATGGGCCGATAATATCGTCATTACCACAAGCCCTGTGCAGGTATTTTACCACCAATTTTGATTGGTTACCACCTTTTTTGATTTTTGATTTTGTTACAGATTCCAGTTTATTTATATGTAAACAGACGAAGAATGTGAACTGCAATAGAAAGTTAAGGAACAAAAAATAAAATTAGTGTTTCTTTTGTATTTATGCTATTTACTTTTAAGGATAGTGTTGCGAGTAAAATTAATTTAGTACAGTTTCAATTTTGTTATACAGTTTTATTAATTTACAGAAAGTATGTTATCGTCATATACATAAATATAAGGATGTCTTTCGACTAGCACTATATCTTTTTCTAGTTGTTTTAGTTCCGCCTCTAATTTCGATTTTCTATTTATTTTGGGTATAGTATCTGTGAGGATGGGGAGGCCCTGATACTGTTTTTGTAACTCCTCCCAGTTGTGTTTCAAGCCCTGCAATAAATTTTTTTATAAATGAAAATGAAACAATTTTCTTACTTGTAGTAACTCTTCTCGTTCATCTCTCCTAATGTAGCGACATTTCGGTTTTTCCACTCCTCGTGCATCTTTCTGCATTTGGTGTAATTTCTCCCGTTTTTTGATCAAAGACTGCAAATACTCGGGGGTTTTACCAAAAGCACTAGACTTGATGTAAATTGGTTCCAAGCCGTCGGTCAAGCGTTTGGACTCGCCGTGTGGTTCTAGTACCACTTTGGGTTCGGGTTCTTTTGCTTTCATCGTCAACACTGTTTTGATATTTGCGGAAATGAAGTTTTTCTCCTTTTTGGCCTCTTCCTTTTTCCTGTTGTTGTATTGCACAATGTCCTCTTTCGTCGGGAACAGTCTTTGTTTTCTTTGACAAAATTGTTTTATTGGTTTTTCTTTCGTTTGGTTTTGGCTATATGATAATTTCCCGGAGTTTTTCTTGAGGAAATCGCACGGGTCTGGGGGTGGTTCTTGCGCAAGGCCCATTGTTGCGTGGCGTTTAATGGCTTGGGTGTCTCTGGGGGCTGCCTTCAGCCGGGCGTACATTCTYGTTTTGAAACCTTCAGGCCCACCCTCATATTGGTATTCAGGTTTTGAGATTATGTTGTTTATGTTTTCGTCGTGGTGGGTGATGGCAATAATCGACATTTTTTCGATCTAAAACCGAAAAGGAAATAACACTTGAGTGGAATTTATGGAAACTTTCAGACGTAAACAACGTCACCGTTGCCTGGTGACACAGAATTTCGTTTTAAAAACTAATTAAAAAAAAAACAATAATTTCCTTGTGTGATTTTTACGTTCAAAAACACCAATTTAAAATTTTTGAAAGTTATTTGGCAAATAACGATTTTTTTTTTCAAAAATTTAAATTTTTTCAGAATTTTTATGGAATTTGGAAGTTATTTATAGAAGAAGCAACTAACCGTTTCTTAAAAATTCACAAAAACGTTTCCTAAGAAGATTTTTCAGTTTTTATTGAATTTTGAACCGCCAATTTAAAATATTGCATATTTTTT